TTCAGATCTCTCCAACGTTCTTCTCTTGAATGAGAATGACAATGAATCTCCTTCTCTCTCCAACGTCCTTCTCTTGAATGACAGTGACAATGAAACTCGTGCCATGATCTCGATGCTTGCTCCCGGGGCTTTGATGGGCTTGGACAATTTTTGATACGCCTATCGATCGATCAGCTCCTCCTTGGCTAGTATGAATCAGATTATCGCTCCCTTTGTTGTTTCTCCCTTCGTGTAGATTGCTGCTGGAATGCTGAGATTGTGGCAGAGGATTTATAGCAGTATTGCTTTCGAAGTTTGCCACCGGGTCAAAAGCATATACGAAATTCTCGCGTTGATCTCATGGAAAACATAACAGTCAAAGTTCAAACCACCAGGGTCAACTATACGCAAGGAGGTGTCGCGTCTTTGACCAGCAGACTTTCACTGAAAACTTTCACTCTTCACTCTCATCTGTCCACTAAAGCAATTGGTTGTGAGGTCAGGACACTGTTCTCCTCCTTTTCACTTGGGGATCAAAGGTGTAGATTGGAAGTCCTGACGCCAGGTACTTGATCATCTCCTTGACGAACCGCCTAGAGTCTCGATTGAGGAAAGGCTACCAAGAGCAGCGCCATCACACTCTGGGGACACCACAGTCTTGGAATCTCTGGCTGTTTCACCTGGTGAATTCCAAGAGTGTGGTGGCCCCAGAGTGTGATGGCCCACTCTTGGGAGCCTTTCTTCGATCGATCGAGACTCTAGGCAGTTCATCAAGGAGATGATCAAGTACCTGGCATTAGAACTTCCAATTTACACCTTTGATCCCCAAGTGAAAAGGAGGAGAATAGTGTCCTAACCTCACAACTAGTTGCTTTAGTGGAAAGATGAGAGTGAAGAGTGAAAGTTTTCAGTGAAAGTCTGCTGGTCAAAGACGTATACCTACTTGCGTATAGTTGACCCTGGTGGTTTGAACTTTGACTGTTATGTTTTCCATGAGATCAATGCGACACGGTGGTGAACTTTTAAGAAGTATATCTAATTTGTAAAATTGGCTTAACGATGCACCTTCTCATCATCCACATATGCCACCTCACTTTGTTCTACAGGCTCATTGTTGTCTACCCATAATCACTAGCAGCAGCCAAGGATTCCAAGAGTGTGGTGGCCCCAGAGTGTGGTGGCCCTAGAGTGTGATGGGCTGCTCTTGGGAGCCTTTCCTTGATCGAGACTCTAGGCTGTTCGTCAAGGAGATGATTAAGTATCTGGCGTCAGGACTTCCAATTTACACCTATGATCGCCAAGTGAGAAGGAGAACAGTGATCCCGACCTCGCAACTGCTTTACTGAAGGGATGAGAGTCAAGAGTGAAAGCTCAGTGAAAGTCTGCTGGTCAAAGACGCGATAACTCCTTGTGTATAGTTGACCCTGGTGGTTTGAACTTTGACTATTATGCTTCCCATTCGAGAAGAAATTGAAGAGATCAACGCGAGAATTTCGTATATGCTTTTGACCCGGTGGCAAACTTCGAAAGCGATACTACTATAAATCCTCTGCCACAATCTCAGCATTCCACCAGCAATCTAAACGAAGGGAGAAACAACAAGGGGAGAAGTTCTTTAGGAAGCCGATAATCTGATTCATTGCAACCATACTCGCCAAGGAGGAGCTGATCGATCGATAGGCATATCAAAAATTGTCCAAGCCCATCAAAGCCTCGGGAGAGAGCATCGAGATCATGGAACGAGTTTCATTGTCACTGTCATTCAAGAGAAGGACGTTGGAGAGAGAAGGAGATTCATTGTCATTCTCATTCAAGAGAAGAACGTTGGAGAGATCTGAAGGAGATGGTCATGGCGCGCGCGTTGTGGAGCTGGAGGAGACGCAGTTGGCGCTGAGCTCAGGCTGGCGGGATGCATGCCACTGGAGTCCGCTCCTCCCGCCCGCCAACGCTTCCATCGACGAGCGGCTCCGGCGGGAGATCATCCGATACGGCGAATTCGCCCAGGCTTGCTACGACGGCTTCGAATACAGCGAGGGCTCGGAATTCTGTGGAGACACAAAGTTCTCCAAGGAGGAGCTCCTCCAGTCCGTGGGACTCCCAAGCACAGGATACGAAATCACGGCCTATCTCTACGCAACATCGCAGCTGGGCTTGCCCAGCTTCTTCAAGCGCTCCAATTCCAACGCCCAACCCGGCGACGACTCGTGGACGTCAGACACCAACTGGATGGGCTTCGTGGCGGTTGCCACGTCGGACGAGGCCATCCGACGGTTGGGACGCCGCGACATTGTGGTGGCCTGGCGCGGGACGGTGACGCAGCTCGAGTGGATCGAGAACCTCAAGGATCTCCTCCGCCCCACCGGGCTCGACCCCACGGATCACAACACCAAAGGCGTGAAAGTGGAGACGGGATTTCTCAGCATCTACACGTCTCCAGTCCCCGGCGATCAGGCCGGGATGAGCGCGAGGCAGCAGCTCCACTCGGAGATCAAACGATTGGTCGGGCTCTACCAGGGCGAGCAGCTGAGTATGACGTTCACGGGCCACAGCCTGGGTGGCGCGCTTGCACTCCTCAGCGCCTACGACGTGACAGAGCTTGGGCTGCCCGGGAGCAATAGCCCGGTGTCCGTCTTCACGTTCTCGGCACCCCGAGTTGGGAACCGGGGTTTCAAGAACAGGTGCCTCGAGCTCGGGCTCAAAGTCCTCCAGACACGCAATGCCGCAGACCTGGTGCCCAAAGTTCCAGGGGTGATTGTCAACGAGGACAGCTGTGACATCATCTCGCTCATCTTCCACAGGTTCCCATGGGCCTACACCCATGTTGGCACCGAGTTTGAGCTCAGCAGCGACATCTCTCCGTTTCTGAGGGAAGATGGTGGCTTGACCGATCTGCACAACTTGGAGGCCTTGCTTCACCTGGTTGATGGCTACCAAGGGCCGAGCAAGCCCTTCAGTGTCTCAGGCACCCGGGATATCGCGCTGGTGAACAAGAGATCGGACTATCTCAAGGCAGAACTTGGAGTTCCAGCAAACTGGTGGTTTAAGGACACCAAGCAGTAGAGCCCGTCTTTCTTCCATCACGATCACGGTGGTGAACTTTTACAAACTCATTCTTTTACGGAGGCCTCACGCTAATCAGTAGGACCAAGCTCTGTTTGGCACATATATCTGAAAGGTGGCACGCTTGCAATGGCCTATAGAGTTTTGGTTCGAGAAGCCTCCTTGAAGTTCATTGGACCGAATCTTGTAAATATGTTGATTTGAAAACTTACTTTACATTTTGCTATTCCATGACACAAACAATTTGCTTGCATTGTTTCCCTTCTTGAGCTCCTTGGCCACAAGGGTGTGCGGTGCAGCTGAGGAGATCGATGATGTAGCTGTAGTGAGCGATGTTTGTATGCATGGGGTTGGCCGATTCCTCGATGATAGCAGGAGTATCTGGCAGTTGCGGACTGTGTTGTTTGCTCTGGTTTTGAATTTGCTTTGTATTGCAAGCCTTATTTCAATACTTCCTAGTGCAATGGCGTGAGGAACAAACAAGAGTTGCTTCGTGGAAATGCACAAACCTTTTGGAGCTCGCAACGGCAGCGGCAGCAGCAGCAGAGATGTCAGCGGCGGATCCAGTTCCAGACGAAATTGCAGACAGAGCAGCAGCTTGTGCAGCTTTTGCTGCGAGTTTTAAAATGTGCTGGCAGGACAAACGTGAGCTGCCTACCTGAAGGTCTCCTTTGTTCATTTCCGTCCAGAAGACTGTTTTCAATCGTACTTCTTCAGCATTGTTCAAGTAAGCATTCATCTGTAGGCAAAGGACATGAACTTGAGATACGAATGTTGAACGTTTTAGCAGCCAATAACAAGCCCATAGAACAAAATGAGGCAGAACACGTGGAGGGATGACTCGGCAGGGAGATCTGATGTGGCAGGGAGGGGTTTGTTATAGAGGATCAGGCGGCAGATCAGCAGGGACTTGGAGCCCGAGTGCGAGCTATGGAGCTGGGGGAATGCCCAACAAGGGCATCTGTCATGCCCGAGAGGAACATCGTTTCCTGGAACTCCATCCTGGCACCATTCTCCCATCGAACGTTGTGTCGTGAACATTGGTGATCTCTGCATGTAGTCATTCCGACGCAAGCGATTGACCACTTTCGTGAGATGATCCCCGACCAAGTTGCGTATGTGAGTGCTTTAGGCAAGGGACGCGAGTTCTCATTTCGATGAGCAATGACTGTGAATTCAAGCCTCAGCCCAGACACTACTGCTCCATGTTGGATCTGTGGAGATTGAGGGGTGGTATATCCCTACAAGAGTCAAAACCCTCACCGTGATTAGATCTTGATCATTGTTGCACCGTTCCCAAGCCAATCCTCTTCCCCACCACTTTTTTTGCCCCTGCATCCATTCTTCCTGCCAGGTCGGATCCATCTGTGTCCATCTCATTGTTCACATGTGCCTGATCGCCAGCAGCACCCAGGGATTCCAAGAGTGTGGTAGCCCCAGAGTGGCCGCTCGTGGGAGCCTTTCCTTGATCGAGACTCTGGGCAATTCGTCAAGGAGACCTGGCGTCAGGACTTCCAATCTAAACCTTTGATCACCAGGTGAAAAGGAGGAGAACACTGATCCCGACCTCTCAACTTGTTGCTTTACTGGACGGATGAGAGGTGAAAGTTCAGTGAAAGTCTGCTGGTCAAAGACGCGATACCTCCTTGTGTATAGTTGACCCTGGTGGTTTGAACTTTAACTATTATGCTTCCCATTCGAGAAGAAATTGAAGAGATCAACGCGAGAATTTCGTATATGCTTTTGACCCGGTGGCAAACTTCGAAAGCGATACTGCTATAAATCCTCTGCCACAATCTCAGCATTCCACTAGCAATCTACACGAAGGGAGAAACAACAAGGGGAGAAGTTCCTTAGGAAGCGATCATCTGTTCATTGACACCATACTCGTCAAGGACGAGCTGATCGATCGATAGGCGTATCAAAAATTGTCCAAGCCCATCAGAGCGAGCATCGAGATCATGGAACGAGTTTCATTGTCACTGTCATTCAAGAGAAGGACGTTGGAGAGAGAAGGAGATTCATTGTCATTCTCATTCAAGAGAAGAACGTTGGAGAGATCTGAAGGAGATGGTCATGGCGCGCGCGTTGTGGAGCTGGAGGAGACGCAGTTGGCGCTGAGCTCAGGCTGGCGGGATGCATGCCACTGGAGTCCGCTCCTCCCGCCCGCCAACGCCTCCATCGACGAGCGGCTCCGGCGGGAGATCATCCGATACGGCGAATTCGCCCAGGCTTGCTACGACGGCTTCGAATACAGCGAGGGCTCGGAATTCTGTGGCGACACAAAGTTCTCCAAGGAGGAGCTCCTCCAGTCCGTGGGACTCCCAAGCACGGGATACGAAATCACGGCCTATCTCTACGCAACATCGCAGCTGGGCTTGCCCAGCTTCTTCAAGCGCTCCAATTCCAACGCCCAACCCGGCGACGACTCGTGGACGTCAGACACCAACTGGATGGGCTTCGTGGCGGTTGCCACATCGGACGAGGCCATCCGACGGTTGGGACGCTGCGACTGGCGCGGGACGGTGACGCAGCTCGAGTGGATCGAGAACCTCAAGGATCTCCTCCGCCCCACCGGGCTCGACCCCACGGATCACAACACCAAAGGCGTGAAAGTGGAGACGGGATTTCTCAGCATCTACACGTCTCCAGTCCCCGGCGATCAGGCCGGGATGAGCGCGAGGCAGCAGCTCCACTCGGAGATCAAGCGATTGGTCGGGCTCTACCAGGGCGAGGGTGCCGAGAACGTGAAGACGGACACCGGGGTATTGCTCCCGGGCAGCCCAAGCTCTGTCACGTCGTAGGCGCTGAGGAGTGCAAGCGCGCCACCCAGGCTGTGCCGAGTTGGGAACCGGGGTTTCAAGAACAGGTGCCTCGAGCTCGGGCTCAAAGTCCTCCAGACACGCAATGCCGCAGACCTGGTGCCCAAAGTTCCAGGGGTGATTGTCAACGAGGACAGCTGTGACATCATCTCGCTCATCTTCCACAGGTTCCCATGGGCCTACACCCATGTTGGCACCGAGTTTGAGCTCAGCAGCGACATCTCTCCGTTTCTGAGGGAAGATGGTGGCTTGACCGATCTGCACAACTTGGAGGCCTTGCTTCACCTGGTTGATGGCTACCAAGGGCCAAGCAAGCCCTTCAGTGTCTCAGGCACCCGGGATATCGCGCTGGTGAACAAGAGATCGGACTATCTCAAGGCAGAACTTGGAGTTCCAGCGGCCGCAGTGGCAAGCATCCGCTGCTCCTCCCAAGACCTCCTCTCCTTCGGCCTCGCGCCCAATGCCTCCTCGGCGCTGTGCTCCAAGCTGGATTTCGATAACCAAGGAAACATTGTTGGCCTCCCTGGAATTTTCTAAAAGCTTTTACAAGAAAGAAGTTTACTATTAATACACATTAACACTTAAATAAAATGTTTTAAAGAAAAGTCAAGAAATACAATATATATTGTGAGGTCTAATTGTACGGTTATGATGTCGCATATTAATATTAATGTAATAGGATTTTGATAGCTATTGAATTAGTTTAAATTCAGACAATTTACTCTTGTATATAGGCTAAATTTTTTAGGTTAATTGATATGTACATTTCTATATTCCATCCATGCATTACAGTACATTATTACATTGGTAGAGGTGAGGGGCATTTTTTTATTATTCTTGAGGAGTGCTTAGATTTGGGATTTTCGTTTTAATTTAATTTTGGCATCATCTAGATCTCTCTTTCTTTATGGCTTTTTCAATTTTTTCTTTTTCTTTTTCCCTTTTTATTCATTTTCATGGAAAAGTAACAACCTCCTCCTCCTTTGATGTTAGAGTATAGTTTCTTGATGCTATATGCTTGTAATTAAATAATTAGACTCAGTTGATGGTGGTATTTATAACACATGATATAATTCTTCCTGCTCTCCCTTATATCCGGCTGAAATTCTTTCATAGAAGTCCTAAAGATAGATGTGTACTATTGGTTCAATCATTTTACAATGTTTATTATATATTATTCTTAGGATAATAGTGTAAGCAACTAAATTTTCTATTCTACTTTAGTAATTTAACCACACCTTTGACCACTTTGAGGAGTCTCACTCATAACCTTCATAAGTGTTCTTCCTGACTTGGGGAGATGTTACCACCATGAATAACATCTATACCATTCAGGCTTTGCATTTAGTCCAAGTGTTTTATATATCCAATCCTAGGTGCCATTGATATATCAGCTTGTTACACTAAAGTTATGTCCATTTACCTTTGTCTCATTAGTAATCCAAAGCTACTTGTACCATAATTTAATCTCGCAAAGGCTGAGCCATTTATTTATAAATGGTCATCCCAAGATCACATGTTAGCATCCTTAGGATGCCCAGAGACATAGAAAACACTATTTCCTAATATCTTTTCTTTAGTCTCCACCAAGTCCTTCTTCATCTATGGTCATGTTTGCCAACATTGCTATTGGGTTATGGCCCAAAGGCACAACCATTAAGTCCCATTGACTTCTGAGACTTTCTTACTATGTGACTATGCCTTTGGTCACTATACAAGAGGACTACTTCTTTTCCTTTCCACAGTTTAAGACTTTGGGATAACATTTTGAAACACCATAACCCTATATAAGCTTTGTGGGTACTCCCCACCTTCTGTTCTTAGGTGCCCTAGCTATGTGGCTAGAATGAGGTTCTAATGAGCTATGCCAGATATCTAAGTAGGTAGTGCCACCCACACTTAGATTGGGAACATCGACTATTCCGTCTCCCAAGGGAACTAAAGTTGCCTCTTGAATACTTCACTAAGTTACTTTGTTTGTTTGTTTATATCCACTTTAGTCTTAGACTTTTTAGTGGTTATATCATACTCAACATGTGGGTATAACCTTCTTAGGTCACACTAGCCTTTCTTGGCCAAATTAATTCTATTAGAGTTCAACCCCCACACTCTCCCTACTATACTTTTGGAACCCTTTATATGCACTTACTTGCACTCGGTCTCGGTCTTGATCTCGGTCTTGGTATCAGTCTCCATCTCGGACTCGATCTTGGTCTCCATTTCGGACCTAATCTTAGTCTCCATCTCAAACTCGATCTCAGGCTCCATCTCAGACTCTTTCTTGGACTCCATCTCGGACTCCTCAAACTACTTTTTGAACTCCTTCTCAAACTTTATCTTGAACTCCATCTTGATTCAGTCCCAACACTTTCATGTGTCATGGCACTTGCCATATGGCAGTCCTTTTTGTGTCCCTTTCTAAAGACCCATTCATTAGTTGTTTCATGTTCATTCCTCAAGCATTTTGTTCAAAGTTTCATTCTTGCTCTTGATTTTCTGAGTCGGAGCTTTTGATCTAAACGTATTACACTTGTTAGACTTCTGCTTCAACCACTACCATGTGGCACACTTTTAACTCCACTTTGAGGCTTAGGGATTTGTGTCTTACAACTCCACCACCTATAGATGTTGATGTCTTTATTGAACAATAAACCATTTTATAAAGTATCTTATCATTTTCATCCATAGCACCAAGTTTATATTTGTCAATGGTTCAACACTAAAGGCTTACCATGCCTTGCCTATCTTCTAAGGAGAGTCTTTCCAATTTAAAGTCTTATTAAATCATATATCGTGGTCTTTTCTTCTTATTTGTTTAGTTTTCATTAAACCTATTAAAGGCACCTTCTCTATTTCAATCTTACTACTCATTCTAGAGTAGTCTTGGCCTTTAGCAATAGAGCCATCATACTTTTAAATTTTAATATTGACTTCTTGAGTTAATTTCTTAGGTGTCTCCAACACTTTAATTACCCATGTTGTGCAAACTCCATTTCCTCATTTTAAGAAGTTCTTTACTGAAGGGCACCATCATCCTCTCTTTTATTTCGTACCACCATAGACATTAAGCTACCTATCCTTAATTTATCCATAGCCTTATCATTTGGTTATCTTGTTATTCCATCCCTTAGAACTTTCACCTTTACCAAATTGGAACATTTGAAAATCCTATACTTGAAAACTTATTTTCTTTCCCACAATCCATTAGTATTCATTACCTGATGGTTCCTTGCTTAATTAATACTTTGGATTCCTTTCAATAACTAGTAAGACCTATACTTGGTGGCCATTAATCTTTTGTTTTTATCATTTGATTATTACACTAAGCAACATAGGATCAGTACCTCCATTTTTAAGTATCCTTTTGGTTTTATAGCAAAAGTTTTGCTTTACCAGGTCCAAAAAGGGTTCCCCCTAGTAAATTTTTTTAGCATTTTTTATTGTGGGCTATATCCTCGACCCAATCTTATGACCCTTATTTGGTGTAACATTAATGTACATTATTCAATATCCCTTAGGGACTAGTACAAAAAAAAAATCACTCATAGTGTCTCTCAACAAATCCATTTTATTATCTCCTACATAATGGTGATCATTGCCCTTCAACCAGGGTTGCTGCAGTAGTGTTTCTATTTCCATTTGATACCTCCTACATGTTCTCCTCTGTAGCAAAGGGTTTATTGTTGTCACCAAGCTTTTAGCACCTCTCTTTTACCATGCTCCTAGAGCAGCATATCCCTGAGACAAACAACAACCAATGTGAGCCTCCACCAATGTGCCATGATCACCAATATCCGAGCATTTTGTCCTTCAAAGTGGTTGTGGTTCCTTGCTTCCCAAAGTGCCTGTACCCCGGATGTATGCCATATCCCCCATTTGGTTTTTCCAAGGGCCTCCCATACTATAGTCATGTCCTTGGCTCCTACAACATCCTATATGACTTGGGTGCCCCATTCTAAACATCCCTAACAACCAATCCTTTGGCAAGCCAATCTTGTGCATGGCCCCTTGCCTTTGGGAACCATTGCATGATGTCTCCTTCACGTATTTTAAAGTCTTACTTGCTCCCTAGTTCCCTAGCTGCCTTTGCTATATATCTTCATGTCTCCTTTGCCACATCACACTCCTAGAGATGTGCTATTGTCTCCAATGCCCCACATTTTGGGCACTTGTAGACTTCCTTTGCTTGGAATTGCTATCCTATTGGCAAACCTCCTGTTGCTATGAGCCATGAAGTGACTTTTGATTTCTCCTAGATTGGTAGTTTTCAGAAAGCCACTATGTTGTTGATCACTTAATCTACTTCCACTGCTAGTGCAATCCATTTCTACCAAGTTTTGGTACTTCCTCTCTCTCAAACTCCTTGTTCACCATTAGTCCATTCCGTATGTCCTTGACCTCATATATAAAAAATCCATTTGCTCCACATCTCCATGC